AAATGAAGACTCGCATAAGTATGTAAATAGGCTCCAAATGCTGATTCACTGCCATCGTGTAATACAAGGAAAAATCCAATTGAAATAATAATTAAGATAATTCGGAATGGTCGTATTTTGGATGACAATGATAATTTTGTCGAATCATTAGGGTTAATAATTATTATTGATTGTTGGTTATTATCATCGTCACATAGAGGCTTATCATTTTCTAGTGCTATATTTATTTCTGTGCTGGTTTTCAAACAATATTCATCACGTATAGCATAGAATAATATCCAAATAAGATTAGGTATGTGCAGAAATCCAATAAGCCAATAGGCATAATGCCATTGATCCAGTTTTCTATGTTTATTAAGAAACGGTGCAATAATTAACGGTGAAAGAAATGCTCCAACACCGAATGCACCATGAATAGCTTGTATATATCGGCCTACTTGATGTTGATTATAATGACGTAGTGTGAGAATTTGTGCCAGGTTATCGACCATACCGCTTGCTATACCACTGATTAGTTGTACAAAAATGAGAAGAAACAGTTTTTGAATAAATGGTATAATTAATGTTACCAAACACATAATTAAAATTGTTAATGTTAAAAATGTTCGACCTAATAAAACAAAATGATCCACAATTATACCGGCAAATGCAGTTCCACTAAGAAATCCAAATGCACGTATAAAAACAACATAGCCAAGTTGATCGAGTGTCGAATTTGTTTGTTCACATAATTTGAGTATAGTTGGCCCTATTAAACCCGTACCCAATCCCATACATAGAAATGAATAGAAAAGTGAAAGAAAATACAGAAGAGACGGTTTTGAAAGTTGCATCTTCTTCTGTGCATCCTTATTGTCATCGACACAAGATTCAACATGATTGTGAAGAGACATTGCAGATATTGATTCTGAATCGAAAAAAATTTTCGATTCTCTTCCATATGCTCTCCATTCTCATCATACAAGTACGTTCTTAAAAGATTAGTCTTGATCAATACTCTTATCTTAATGTAAAATGGATCGCTTTCACAATGCACTCTTAATTTTATCTTAAACTTACATTCGTCGCCATATTCGGATCATCAGAGGAGACTGTCATAGAGTCGGGGGTGTTGGTAGGGTATGTATGTGTGTGTGGGTGGGTGGGTGTGGGGTGTGGATGTGGGTGTGGTGTGAGTGTGAGTGGGTGTGTGGTGGGTGTGGGAGTGGGAGTGGATGTAGTTGTCAGTATGGATTAAACAAGGTCCCACCCTCACCCTCACCCACACTCCACACCCACACCCACACCTACCCACACCCATAATATCTTCTTTTGCACTAATTAACTGTAAGTTCTCTGATTGTTGATAGATTCGAAAGACAAATAAACAACCCAGGTCAATAAATACGGAGCAGAATTCAACCCAAAGCAGTACAAAAAGTGATAAGATCTCAACTGTATCCGAGAACTTAAAAATGAAAATTCCTAAATTGTAGAGAAGCTATCAGTATCATTATGATTATTCCTCGAACGAAATGATAATTGACTATTAGCTCCCTCACGGTTCTTCCATGCATAAAAAATCAAAATGATGCTATTTTCTGATAGAGATTTTATATGCGTACATTCATGTTTATAAATTTCTTACTGAATATGAGTGTGGGTGTGGGTGTGAGTGTGGGTGTGGGTGTGAGTGTGGGCGTGGACGTGGGTGTGGGTGTGGGTGGTGTAGGTGTGAGGAGGCGGGTGTGTGGGTGTGGGTGTGTGCGTGTGGGTGTGTGGGTGTGTGGGTGTCGGTGTGGGTGTGTGTGTGGGTGTGCGTGCAAGTGTAAGTGTAAGTGAAGATAACACCAACACCCACACGCGCACCCACACCCACACCCACACCCACACCCACACCCACACCCACACCCACACCTACACCCCACACTCACACCAACACACCCCATCTATACCCACACCCACACCAGAGATGTCCATCGCGGCTCAAAATCTGCCGCTGCCGCGCCGCGGCCAAAATCAAACAAAGCTGCCGCGCCGCTCCTGCGACGCGATGGCCTGTTAAAAAAAGCTACCTCACCGCTGCCGCGACGCGCCTTAAAAAAAAACTTGCCGCTACCGCGTCGCTGCCGCGTTGGTATTCGAAAAAATGCTTTGATTTTCAAGGCTTTGACTGGTTTGAAATAGAACTGATGCCGCTAATGGATCAAATTCGCTAAGTCTTACAGTGTAGCATACATAAACATGCAGATTCTGTGCAAATTCATGAATTTTTGAAATTTTTTCCTAAAAAGCTGCCGCGACGGCAAAATAAAAATCTCTCCCGCGCCGCGATAGTTTTTGGAAAAAATCTGCCGCTGCCGCGCCGCCACCGCCACGGCGGCAGCGGCAGCGGCGCGATGGACATCTCT